TTCAATACATCTCTAAGTTTCCCTGACTGCGTTTGAACTTTCAGTCCTCCTGTTCAACCTCCCACAGATGCTGGGATTACAGGTGTGCCCCACCACACCCAGCTACACTTTGTTTTTTTCCATTGCTGTAAACTATTCTGCAAAATGACCAAGGGATTTAGGTCGCCTCCTCAGAACCATGCTGCTAGGGGATTACTAAGGACTCTTCCAAGACCCGTTCCAGCCCCACAGGCTTCAGGAAACTCTTGCAGGCCACCACACTGCAGGCCTCCCTGCAATCACATCTCCTGAATCAGTTTCATCATCAGAGCCTCTTTTGAAGATAAGGAAATCCCCCTTTAAGTTGTGGCCGCTCACTACACAAAGTTGCTTTATAATAGCCATCAAGATGAAAGTGGGCAAGCAGCCTCTCCTTCAGCTTTGCTTTGGTTCAAGCAAACCACAAGCATCTCAAGCCACTTCCACAGACATCAATATATCACCTCGTCTGATCCTCAGACCAACCGCTGAAGGCCACAGGGTGGAGGGATGACCCTCGTTAAAGATGAAGGGACTCCTGTGGAAGCTAAGGGGCAGGTCTCAGTCTGGGGGCCTTTGTGCAGAAGAGAGATGTGGGTGAGGAGCCCCCAGATGTTCTCAGATTAGTCCTGTCATCAAAAATGTGAAATACGTCCCTTCTAGTCCCTGTTAGAAAAGCATCTCCAAAAGACATTCACACTGGTATGAAGATTTTGCCGAACACAAGGCCCATCTGTTCTTATTAAATAAGCTCTTTAATTATTTAAAAACTGTTTTAAAGTTTAAAACATCAACTTTCATTTCACCCAAAGCAGTAGTATCTGTGAAACTGTGGCTCTGCGCGCTGACATATTTTTCCAAACGCCAACCAAGAAAATACGTAATTAATTTCTTTTGTTTTTATGTTCAGCTGCAGATGTTTTAGGATTATCTTGGGTACCATCCACGATAATACATATTTAGGAAACATTAGAATAAGATTAATGAGATAAATCGGAGTCATATTTACTCACTGCAAAATTGTTTTATTAGTCTCCTTTTCAGACAAGATAGTTCACCAGTGAACTTTGTGATTAGCACACTAAGAAGAAACATTTTCATTAAGAAATTGCTATCACAAAACTTTACTTGATTTTAGGCTATAGGCAGTCTGAAGTGAGGGACAGCGTGTCCATCTCTATATCCTGAAGAGTCACAGCTATTTTGTATTCCAGATTTCTGAGGACACATTAATGTTAAATATCAACCCAGTGACCTCTCTGTTGGCTTTGGATCCAGGGTCCTACGAAGCTTCTAGAAGGCCATGTCACCCAGCCTGTCCATAGAGGTCAGGGTCTAGAGCGACCTCCTCTTGTCCCTCAGTCCCTCACAGATGACCAGAAGCCCAGCTTCCTACGGAAAATGAGGGCCCAGAAATTCAATTTTTCTGTCCAACAACTACTCATTAAGTAACGGAGACACCAACAGCATCTCTGAAGGGAAGGAAGGAGGGAATCATCACCCAGTTCCCCTTTTCTTTACATCCTGCCTATGGCCTACCTCCCCAGAGCCTGCCAGAACCCAACAGCTGTGCCCCTGGAGTCACTTGCTGCTCCATAGGAAGTGACTTATTGTTTCAGCATAGCTCTCATCAGGATGTAGGCATGGAAATGCAGCAGAACGATGACACATGTCCCATGGGTCCCTGACCCTGGGGCCTATGGCTGGAATCCCACTGACCATTCCCCAGCCGTTGAATTCAGCTGGTGAAGTCCCTCCATCCAATCTAGCCTTGGGCCTGCTGTTAACTTACAGGGGAGCCTCGACAATTCACTCCACTGCATGTCCCCAGCTGTTAAAACTTTCTGAGGTCCTCATGTTCCTGAAATTCGCCCCTTCCAAACATCTGTCCTAGGATTGGCTGGCTGGAGGAGTCCAAGTGACTCTGGAATACAGCAGTCCCGGTGTCCCCACTGCCAGTCTCCGCCCCAGGCATCAAGTTACCAGCCTGCACTCTCGCTGGGTGGCAACCATGCCTCTGATATTTTTAGACTCCCCCCTCAGCCTGGCCTTAACCAGAGCCAGACACATCCCGACGAAATTGAACTCTGAGGGCAACTTGTGGAAGGAGACAAATCACCATTCTGGGGGCAAGGAGGGGAACCTCCTCTTTCCGTTACCCCCACACCTATCCCGTTCCTTCCCTGGACAGGCCGAAGCTGGGCACAGAGTCAAGCTCCAGTTCTTTCTACTATGCCAGCTGCCCTCTTCCCTCATTCCAGCTGCCTGCTTTCCTAAGCCCAGTCATACACATTCGTGCGCGTGCTTGCTCTCTCTTGCTCTCTTGCTCTCTCTCTCTCTCTCTCACACACACACACACACTCACTATGTTAGGAAATCTCTAGGACCCCCTCAACTTTGGGTAACCACCACCTTCACTCTGGAGCCCCAGTGGCCGCAGACGCCCACCCCCCTGCTTGGCCACTGAAGCCTGTGCCAGAGGCCCCACGTGGCCACAGGGCTGGACATCAGCCACAGGTTGCAACACACACACAGTTCACTGGCCTGCGAAGAGGTGGCTGGACTCCTGCCTCTCAAACACATCTCGCCACCCAGCCAGAAGTCCAAAGCCATCGTCTGGCCTGGAAAGTATTTATATAATTTTTTGTCTCAACCGACTTCCCTTTCTGGTCAGGTCTGTCTGTCAGAGTTCACTGTGACAAAGAAGTGGCCTTTGCTGAGCTCCAAGGGCCGGGAAGGTGCAGGGCGGAGCAAGGCCAAGGCAGCATCCGTGTGGGCCTGGGCCTCGGAACTGGCTCCATCCTCCTCATGACTGACCTGTGGCTGGAAAACGGAGTCTGTGTGCTCCTACCATAGACACTATGAGAGAGACAAAGAACAGAAATCTAGATGTCCTTACTTGCGAGTGTGTGCGTGCATTTGTGTGTGTGTGTGTAACGGACATGCCCTGTACACGCAATTCAATTCCCCCATCTAGGGCAGTGCCAGCCTGAGAGGGGCCTCCCCTCTGGGTGGGGCAGCACCGGCCAAGCTCCACCTCTTCACACCACTGTTTCCTCTGGCCCTGCCCTTCCCCTCTGCCCCTGGAGCCTCCCCTGGGTCGCAGGCAGATCTAAATTCCCCACTAAAGGGACAGAAGAGGCTCCAGACTGTGAGGCCTGTTCTCTGCTTCCCACCAAGCGGGGTGGAGGCGGTAAGATCTAAAACCCGGCAGTGGGAAAACAGGTTCAGCACCTTTCTGCCACCTCCATGCCCCACCCTGGGCAACAGGCCGGGCATCTATCAGCCAAAGCCCCCACAGGCATCTGCACCCTGTTTTCCCCAGAAGGGTCCTCTCCACCCCATTCTCTGCAGCCACCCAGGCCTCTCCAGGTTGAAATAAGGGGGTCTCGGGGGAGGCAGGTGGAGTTCTAAGCCTCCTTCTTGCACTTTAGCTCTTGCTCTGTGGCCTTGGGTAACCAGCTTGGCTTCTTTGGCCTGGATTTCCCCATCTGCAACAGGGGGATATGCTGGGAACAGCTCGGGGTGCAGCTCACCTGGAGGGGAGGGAGAAGGAGCAGGTAGAGCCCACTACACACCTCCATTAGCCTCCCCACCGCGTTCTCTCCAGGGAACCTGTCCCTTCTCAGCCCCTTCTTTTTGATATCTGGAGGCAAAATTCCAGGAAAAGATGGCCAGCCAGGGTGCATGGTCCTGGGATTTCTCTGATTCAGACTGATGGGCCAAGGCAGCTAGAAGTGTCTTTTCTTTTTCTTTTGTCCCATTATGCAAAAATGCACATTTATGACTGTAACTATTTGTAAGTGTACAATTCAGCAGTGTAAAATACACTCACAATGTTACGTAACCATCACTACTACCTGCACCCCGTACTTTTTTCACCCTTCCCAACAAAAACTCTGTACCCTTAAGCACTAACTCCCCCTTTCCCACTGACCCCCAGTCCCCGGCAACCACCCTCCTCCTGTTCTTGGGTTTGTCAATTCCAGGTGCCTCCTAAAAGTGCAGTTGTTTGGGCTGGAGGCTTCTTAAATCCTTCTGCCAACCCCTCATTCACATCACAACATCAACACAGACACACACACACACACACACACACACACACACACACACACCTTGAGAGCCCTGGCCGTCAACTTCGTTCCAAAGTAGCTTCATTCCATTCTGGCCTGGAGGGAAAGCTCTGTCTGTGGGGTCTCCCTTGGCCCAAGAGTCAGCCCCCTAGCAAGACCTTGAATACCGCACTGGAGTGTATTGAGATTCCTGAATCGAGGAGGGCATAGGGGCCACACCCCATCTCTCTCCTTCCATCCGCTGCAATCCTTAGGTAAGGCTCTCCCTGCGAAAGCCCCGCAGGCCATAGCACAGTAGGGGGTGGGTTGAAGGGTCACTGCAGCATACACTCCCCCATCCCCACCCCACCCCCACAGCTGCCGCAGCCCCTAGGAAGTTGCTCCTAGCCGCTGGGGGGCGCGCTGGAGACTCAACTAGGAGGGAGAGCGGGTGCGCAGCCTGCCAGAACCCGCGCACCAGCCTGGGCGCAGCCGCTCTGCCCGCTCAGGTCTGCGGGGACCGGGCGAGGGGGGTCTGAGTCCCACACGCGACAGAGAGCACCCTTGTACTCGGAGGGCACCCGGCCTGCGGCTGGCTGGGCGAGGGGAGCCGCCCTGACTCCTCCCCAAACTTTTCCCGCCAGCCTGAGCGCAAAACGCGAAGGAAGCTGACCCGCGGCGGCGAGGTGGAATCCCGGACGCGCGGGTGTGGCGCCCACGGGAGGGCTGGGCTGCACTCCAGAGATGCGGAGCGGGAATCGGGGTCTGCGGCATAGACGGAGCCTCGGCCCCTCGCCGCCCCCCACAACCCTAGGGCTTCTCTGGCCCCCAAAGAGCGCGGTGGCATCCCTGCTGCCTGGTGCACGCTGCCTCGTGCCCCGACGCCACTCGGCGCCCTGCGCGCATCCCCCGGGCGCGCCCCCAACTCACCGGGCGCAGTCGGCGGCGCGGGCGGCTGGACAGACAGATGCACGGGCTGGGCGCGAGGCGAGGCCGCCGGGCTGTTTTGAAGCTCTGGGCCGGGACTGCGCGCCCTCCCTCCTCCCTGGCGGCGGCGCGGAGCCTCCTCCCCACAGCTCCCTCCTTCCCGAGCCCGCCTCCCGGGCCGTGATGTCAGGAGCCCGAGCCGGGGGAGGGACCGCAGGAGGCGGTGGGGGACCCTGGAGAGAAAGGCCAAGCGCCAAGAGCGCCCCCAGCGCCCGCCCGCCTCCCCGCCCCGCTCTGGACGAGTTTGGGGAGGAGTCGGGACGCGGGAGAGGCGGGGACAGGCAGGGGGAGAAAGACGCTGGGGAGCGGGAACTCTGGCTGCGCTCACCTCGGTTTGCCACCCCCTTGCCCTCTCGTCCCACCGCTCCTCTTCCCTCTGATAGGGGTTCTGGAGGCCAGCCTCTTTCTTAAGCACTTCTGTTAGTTTGGAGCGCTTGTCTAATCGTTCCTTCCTCAGTTTCCTCTTCTGCAAAAGGACCCTTTCCTCGAAGTGTTGAAGACCTGACAGTGACACCACACGGAGGGCTTGGCAGGCACAGCAGAAGCGCTCCAGCAGGGTTTATCACTGTTATTTTTATCTGTCGGACCTGGCTCCGGTGTAGGGTGGCAGGGCCGCGGAACCAGTCCTAAGGTCCCTCCGTGGTTTTCTCATTCACCTCCCCACCAGTACACACAGAGACCCCCACATCGCTCCCGTGTTCTTCAGACTCACAGTCCTGGAATTTATTGCCCCTGAAAGTGGCAAAAATCAAGGAGCAGCCGCCTTTGTTTCCGGCCTCGGTTTCCCCAGTTGAGCTGATCTACCTCAGAGGAGGAAGAGGAGGCTACAGACATCCGAGCTCCATGCGTGTTGAGGGCTATATTTGAAAGATTGAAGAAGTTCCAAAACAGGCTTAGGACACATCACAGCACATTTTAAAACTTCTAACAGGTTAATGTTATTTGCACAAACTCCAAAGTCCAAGGAAGTTGATTTCTGTCACTGACAAAATTAAAACTCCTTTTAACAAATGTGACTTACCCAGCACTCCGGGAGGCTGAGGCAGGAGAGTCACAAGTTTGAGGCCAGCCTGGAAAAGGCTGGAAAGGGCCTTAACTTAAGGAGACTAGGTCTGAAAATAAAAAATATTTTTTAAAGGGCTGGGAATGTAGCCCAAGGAGAGGGACGGGTCGGGGTGGGGGATATTTAATAGTGTAACAGTGCGGTTTTCTAGGACATTGTGTTTAAATTTTCTGAGGGCTGTGCTAAGTCTGAGTTAGAGACTATCACAGGGTCTTGAGAGCCCTCCAGGGTATCACCGCACCCCACCCAGAGCCCTGAACTTCTCCAGTTGGCCTCTAACTTGCCAGGTTGCTTTTAATTGTGTGGCTAATGATGCATTGCACAAGCAAGAGATTCTTTGGGGTGGAGAGGGGACAGGAAGGTGTTAATTTGAACTGAGGCCCACATGCCTGGCCCACGGCCCCCCGGAAGACAAAGAAAGACCCCAAGGTGGGAGATGGAACAGATGAGTTTCTGCCACTTACTGAGCAATTGCTGTGCGCCACTTATTTTACCAACATTACCTGCAAGGTAACAGCAGCCTGCAAACCAAGTTACTCTCACTTGATCCAGGAAGAAACTAGGGCTCAGAGAAGCTATGGAAGTAACCTGCCATCTGGGTGTGGTGCCGCACACCCGTAACTCCAGCACTGTGGGAAGCTGAGGCAGAAAGATCATGGGTTCAAGCCCAGCCTGGGCAATTTAGCGACTTGGCGAGACCCTCTCTCAAAAAAAAAAACAAAAATTAAAGTGAGGTATACCTCAGCGCAAAGCCTCTGGATTCATCCCCAGTACTGCCTGCTAAGAGTAAGTGGATTTGAACCCAGACTGACTACATTAAACCTCATTCTCCCCTTTTACTCTATCACTAGTTACCAGATGCTAATAAGCATGCTCAGTTGTCTGGCATACCCACCTACCACCCGAAATAGTGTGCGCTTAACATTTTTCTTGAAGTTAACTGTTTACTTTAATGTATTTATTTAAAAGAAAGCCTTATATCACCCAAGTAAACAGGAAACCAGTGCCACCCACCAAATATAGAAGACAAACTTGCAAATATAAACACCACCAAAATAAAACATTGTTAGCACCCTGCAGCTTGACAGTGTTGGGAGAGCAACGAAGTGTTATAGCTCGCTAGCGTAGCAGAGTCTTTCTCTTATTGGAACTGTTGCACAGTCACTGGAAGAAAGACTTGAGGTCTAACGCAGAGATTCAAAGCCTGCAACGCCCCTCCCTGCTTTGCTTCCTGGGCCTCCTGCCGGTGGGTGTGTCCTGCACTGGGAAAAACCTGTCCAGACCCCAAATGCCCTTTCAGGACCCAGAAAAAGGAAGGACTCGTTGTTCCTCTCCTGTTTCCAAAACCTCTCTGGAGCCCCACCTACCTCTCCCATTCACCTGCAAGGACACTGTTCCTACTTTTCTCTCTTTAAATGTCTCTCCTGTAACACAAGAGGCAGAAGCCTGCTGTATACCTGCTTATCTCCCTGGTTCTGATGTGTCAATACTAACCTTGAAAGCTCAATGTGGGGGTGGGGGGCTTTAAAGTGTGTTCCATGGAGTTCTGGGCCTCAAAATATTACTCCCTGTAGTAGCAGTAGTATGCACCCCACTTTATCCATAGACCCTTGGTTATTCCCCATCCCTTGACCTGGGCCATGTGACTTGCTTCAGCCAGTGAGAAATGAACAGACGTGATTCTTGCAAAGACTGAAACAGTGCTTAGATGGTAGATTACCCCCTTGCACACTCATCACTTCCATGAGCAGAGTACATCTCTGGTAGGAGTAGAGCTACTCTGGTGACCTGCAGAACTCGTGTCTGGGACACAGAGCTGCTCCCGCCAAGCTGCCAAAAGATGAATGAGAATCGTATGTGTATTATTGTGAGCCAGGGGTGTTTGTTATGTAACAATAGCTGGTTGATAAAAGATCATCTTATATGGAGACAGCACAGTCCAAGGTATGGAAGGCCATGGAAAAAGATGGGTGTGGGTGTTGGCTGAGAGTTGGGCAGAGAAAATAATCAAGGACACAGTGATCTCTGGTGTGTCCTGTTTGGCTTGCACATTTCAGAGTTCTGCCAGTTTCTTGTAACTACTACTATTGCCTTTGTTTTTTCCTCAGAAGGAATGACTACAGTGGTCCACACATCTGGGGGCAAACCTGATCACCAACCTTAAGACAGCTTGCTAGAACTCAGGTTATAGCAACAGGTCATGGAGACAGCAGTGTGCACTCTTGAGTAGAAGCATGGAGATTCAAAACACAATATCGTATAAGTCCATAGGTCATTACGGGAATGGATGGACGGTGAACTTGATCCAGCTATCGTGGTTCGTGGCTTAGTTGCATCTGGACAGGTTTTTGGTAACTTCCATTCAGTAACTATTTCCTTAGAAAACAATTTGGGGAAGAGGCTGTTATCATGACCTGCAGTGCCCCTGCCTCCTTTGTGAAATGTCTCCCTGAGAGTGGGCTGAACAAGACCTGCTGCTAATGAATAGAGTCACAGTGATGGAATGGTGCTCGTATGACTAGCTTCCAAAACAGTGTGACATCTGTCTCACTGGCAGACTGTCTCCATTGCCATCTGGGCGTGCCCATTAAGTAATCCACATGGTACAGAACCCAGGAACGCTCCAGCCAACAGCTGGCCAGGACCTGAGGCCTTCCATCCATCAGCCCACGAGGACCAGAATGCTGCCAGCACCAGGTGAGCTTGAACGTCTGTCCTTCCCCCACTGCAATCTAATGAGATCCCGGCTGTGACTGACACTCAGCTTGAAGTCTTGTGAGAAACCCTGAGGCAGAGGACCCACTAAGCCGGGCCCAGACTCCTGATACACAGAAACTGAGATAATAAATGTATGTTGCTTTAAGCTGCTAAATTGTGGGGTAATTAGTTATGCAGAAGTAGATAACTAACATGCAAACTAAGAACAGAATTAACCTGATGACTCAGATTTGGGAGACCAGGTCCTAGTTGTAGCCTGTGTACCCAGCAGGATGGGCTAGGTTGTGCTGTGATACCCAGTGACCCCCAAATCCCAGTGGCAGACAAGGGCAGATACGTTTTGCATATATGATATGTCTATTGTGGGCTGACTGGGGGTATGGATCCCTGTCATCCTCAGGACACAGGCTGAGGGAACAGGCTCTCTCTGGAATGTTCCTGGTCTGAGGGAAAAAGGAGGCTATTAAAAGCTTCTGTGTGCTCACATTTCATTAGCAAAGCAAATCATGAGGCCAAGCATGACTCTCCCACTGGCCATGTTACCTTAGCACACTGCTTCACCCTCCATGAGCCCACACTGTCTGAGCTGGGCTTAAAGTTCTCAGTGTGTCTAGGTGTAGGAACCTAACAAACACCTTCAAGGTCCTTGAAGGTAACCATGTCTCTTGATTGCTCTTCCAGAGATGGAGCAGGATCCTCAAACGAGGGCCACCCAGGAAAACTCCAAGTGTGAAAGCTACTGGAAACCCACAGTTGGGTCCAGACTACCCGTCTACCACCAGGACTTCTCAGCATGGCTCGACTGACAGCTAACTGGCCGTAAGAGAGAAGTCAGACAGCCCCCTTGTCCCCACTGTGCTAACACGTGGGAACTCTGAACTTGTCTGAACAGGATCTGAGAAATATGCCCACTTGAGATCATTTCCTCATCACCCACCTCCTCAGACTGGGCTGGAGGCGGGATAGAGATGATTTCCAGCAGAAAAACAAGTCTTGGTGTCCTTCAACTCTGGGCTTCGTATTCTGGGTCTCACACCTTCTCTCTATGAGCTGGGAGTGGAGCCACAACTTCTGGATCTGACTGTTCTGGTCTCCTTTTCCCCTCTATCAGGGACAACAGAAAGACCTATGATCTGCTGTCCTGAAACTTCCTGCAAATAGAGTTAAAGTTAACAGTACATGTCTTTTCTGACCTGTTTCTGCCCTCCATGGGCCACGTTCCGTGGCCCCTGCTTCTTGCACTGTGTGCGGAAGCACTCGTCCTGGGATGTACTTCCTACCTGAGTTATTTTCACATGGCCCCTTTTTTTTTTTTTTTTTTTTTTGGTTTTTCTCCGGTACCAGGAACCGAACTCACGACCTTGCGCTTGCCAGGCAGGCGCTTTGCCGCTGAGCTAAATCCCCAGCCCCACATGACCCCTTTGGAACATAGCACCAT